TACGCGCCGCACGATGCAAAGAGAGCGTGGGTGAGAAAACAAAGGAGCCGAAAGGCGTCGCGTGAAGAGGTACGCGATTGGAGGGTGAGAGCGACGAGGGGAGGAGGTTGAGAGGGACAAGGTAGCGCGGGCGAGAATAGCGAAACGGAACAGTTTATGCGTCTGGCGGTCGTAGATAATATCGTGAAAGGCGATTAAACGGCATATATGCCACACTACGAAAGTCATGAATTTAAATCTCTCTAGCCGCGTGCTAGCGAGTTCTTCTACTCTCTTTCTCTCTCTCTCTCTCTCTCTCTCTCTCTCTCTCTCTCTCTCTCTCTAACTCTCAGGCTATTTCTCTATTTCTTTACGTTCTGTTCTCACTCCTTTCTCATTTTTCTAATATGCATCATTAACGATCGCCATTCGTTTATACCTGACGTGTTTAGAGAATCATGGGCATTTGAATTTTTAACCTATATTTAGGATACTGGATTATCAAATGCGTCTTATATAATGATGACAGATTGTATTGGGCAACTGGAAAGCCAATGACGCGCGTAGAAGAAATTGAAGTATCTATTTTATCTTCAAAACTAGATGGCTGTACACGTGTTCCGCAACGGATTAGGTTTACTTTTTCACATCCGGTTGCTCCTGAGTCGAGAGTTTATATTCTCTCAAATCATTCTTGCCCTCCATTGCTTGATTCAACAAGTTTGGCGATAACAAAAATTAAATATATAAATAAAATACAGAAAAATAAAGACAGAAGATAAGTAATTGTCATGCAATAATAATAATTATACTGGTAGTAACAACAACAACAACACCACCATCTACAACAACAACAACAACAACAACAACAACATAATAATAATAATAATAATAATAATAACAATAATAATAATAATAACAATAATGATGATGATGATGATGATGATGATGATAATGATGACGATGATGATGATGATGATGATGATGATGATGATGATGATGATGATGATGATGATGATGATGATGATGATGATGATGATGATGATGATGATGATGATGATGATGATGATGATGATGATGATGATGATGATGATGATGATGATGATGATGATGATGATGATGATGATGATGATGATGATGATGATGATGATGATGATGATGATGATGATGATGATGATGATGATGATGATGATGATGATGATGATGATGATGATGATGATGATGATGATGATGATGATGATGATGATGATGATGATGATGATGATGATGATGATGATGATGATGATGATGATGATGATGATGATGATGATGATGATGATGATGATGATGATGATGATGATGATGATGATGATGATGATGATGATGATGATGATGATGATGATGATGATGATGATGATGATGATGATGATGATGATGATGATGATGATGATGATGATGATGATGATGATGATGATGATGATGATGATGATGATGATGATGATGATGATGATGATGATGATGATGATGATGATGATGATGATGATGATGATGATGATGATGATGATGATGATGGTGATGGTGATGGTGGTGATGGTGGTGACGACGATGATGATAACGATATTGATAATAATAATGATAGTAATCACAATAAGGGATAGTTTAAAATTATCGTTACACCTAATATTCGACCTAATAAAGCATCGGACATCTGTACTCGATTCGTCAATCGACACTGTCTCCGAGTATTAAAATTGTTTGACAAACGGTTAAATTGCCGATGCTCCGTACATATTGAAAGTGCAAATGCTTACGCTCATCGCAAGATCTTTCATCTAAGCGTAGGCCTATTCTGCAGCTCTACTAGCCTTCCTCTAAAGATCCAACTATTCCCCTCGGCATGTTCTTAGTACGGGTAGTAGAGCGCGGTCCAATTATATCATACCGCTTTGCCGACAAAACCGTGCCGACAGCCTTGGCGTTCGCTCGACATATCGCCATTTGTTTCCACGAATCATCAGCGCGGTGCAGCGCAAAATGACGACATACGCGCCGTAAATTATAAAAATGCCGTATCCTTGGTATCGCTAATTGAAAAAAATTCTAAATGTATATTTTAGTTGATTTATCTTAACGTAAAATTATCATTCTCTTTGCCTTTTTCTTTGACATGCTCACGGTGCAATGCTCCAAGTGACAGACAGACAGACAGACAGACATAGAGAGAGAGAGAGAGAGAGAGAGAGAGAGAGAGAGAGAGAGAGTGAGAGAGTGAGAGAGTGAGAGAGAGTGAGAGAGAAATTTACGAAATAACCAACTGCTATTAAATTTTTTTGCATAACTCGGAGCTTGATAGTTACAGTTACAGACTATAATTTCTCTAATATAAATGTAGCTTAAGAGTAGCGCTCGCAAGTAATATTATAAATAAAATGTCGAGGTAATATCGCGTAAAAAGTTCTATTGAAGAAATAAATCCAATCGTCGAGCTTAATATCTTTTGCAAAGGAACAAGACGAAATATGATTAACGCGAATCGAAAAAAACGCTTTAAACTTCAGTGCCTCTTAAAATTGGATTAAATTTAACGGAAAAAACACTAGCACGGCTCAGACATACAGGGGGTGGGAGGGAGGGGGGATGTATGGTAGTGGTGAGATATACGAAAAAAGGAGTAAGTAGCCGATTAACGAAGTAATTACACCCGCCGAAAAAAGCATCCCTTGGATAAAATTTACGACTATTCACGATAATGACGACTTTCGGAAGTTCTTTCGCCCGGTCTACGCCTCCACCCGCCCAACTCGCCCCCCTCTCTCTCTCTCTCTCTCTCTCTCTCTCTCAGGAGCACGCGCGCGCCGAGAGCGGTAAGAAGCGATAAATTGTCAGTGCATTGATATACGGCACGCATGCGCGAACTATATAATACCGCGACGAGCGCACGAGCGGGACGCTGCGAATGTCATGCGGCGCAGAAAAGCGCCTGCTACTACTAACGGGGCTATGTACCCACGGCTCGCTATACTCCGCCAATACTACTCCAATTAACGGAACGCCAACCGAGCGAGTGCAAGTCGATTTTTTTGCTCCACTCGTTCTCTTTTCGTCCAGCCGCGAGCGAGGCGGCCTTCTACGCTCCTCGGCTCACTACTTCCTTCTTTCCTAGGCAAGCGAACGCGCGAATTTATAAAACTAAAAGGGGTCGTAGTCGTAGTCGTAGTCGTAGTCGTAGTCGTCGTCTTCGTCGTCGCTTCTCCCTCTTCCACCCTATCTCTTACCTCATCTTGGCTATTTGGCATGAATTGTCAATTGTGCCCACAAGACATTGGCTTTGTTTTTTTTTTTATAGTCGAGCCACTGCCGCAACTGCTTTCTCCATAAATTTATAAATGTTTATGTCCACTGGCTATCTTACGTATAATAATGAATAGGTGAGACTTTAACCGAGCCGTTGCGCTGCACACAGTCACTTATTTAAATAACCTTAAGCAGATTATTTAAATTTTCAGATTAATGTCGATATGCTTTGTTTTTCTATATTTAACGTAACCCGATTCAGTTTCGATGCGAAATATTTCGTTATTCGCTAAGAATGCCTCGCTGGACGACTTTGAGCGAGGCTAATACTATAGTAAACGTAATGAAAATAGCACAACCGCCTTTAAAGCATATTAAGAATAATGTATGAAATACGCGCGAGCGTATTTTAAATATTTTGTAATTATTGGAATATCAAAAAGCTGCTGCCACGTTAGCTTCTATTTATAATCAGCTATTTTTATCAAAAAGTAGCCGATAGTCTTAATAATATTTAATTTTATTTTCTCATTTGCCTAATCCGAATTTATGGTAATACCCCATACATGTCAACGTTTTTTAATATTTACAACAACAACAACAACAACAACAACTATTACTACTACTACTATTACTACTACTACTATTACTACTGCTACTACTACTACTACTACTACTACTACTACTACCACTACTACAATTGCGTAAGATCGATCAATTTTAAGTTAATAAAATTAATTGACGATTATTATTAATTTTACAAATCCTTTTCAAGAGCCATCATAAATTTATTCTTTGGAAAATCCAATATCTATTTATGAGATAATTGCGAATGATTATTTTGCGAATTAAAATCGACATTCTTTTCACGGAACATTTTTTTTCGACATTTTTATTTAGTATTGATTATATTATGCAAAACAAAAAAGAAACAATAAAGAAGAAGAAAGAAAGTATACAGATATAAATAATATAAAGCAAGTAATATAAAATTTTATTAACAATATTTTATTTATACAATTTTCTTTATAAGTTGTTGAAAATATTATGTATGTACCTATCTTTTATATCTTCTTGCGCGCTCGTGTGCATATACATATACATACATATATATATATATATATATATATATATATATATATATATATATATATATATATATGTACGTGCGTGTGCGTGTGTGTAGACACGCCCACCCACACACACGCACACACATAAAGGTGTCCAATTTATTTTTTGTGTGTACGTCAGTAATTAGAAGTTATATAAAAGAGTTTATATGGCTACTATTTTCAATTTCATCTATTTCAATTTCAATATTGTTACGCACGTATTTATCAATATTTTTACAAATAAATGAGAGCGCGGTAAACATAAAGTCGATTATATGAAAATGCATTTAATAAAAATGTAATCTATCAGTTAAATTCCAATAGAGTCGAAATATGAAAAAAGTGCTTTTATTCAATTGTGATCAATGAGGATCAGCCCCCCCCCCTCCACCATTTCCAATTCCACATAATTGTTCAGCGTTTGCAAACCTTAAGTTTGTACAAATGTCATTAATACTGATGTCGTAACTCTTACATAAGAAATGCACGTCGACAATTTGAAAAAAGGAAGCCATATCTCCAGAGCTGATAAAGGAATAAAAACGATAAGAAACAAATAAAAAGAAAGAAAAAAGACGCTTATAGTAATAAAATAAAGCGCAAGGATAATGTCATAGGCCAACTAATTGTGTTAAGTGATGTGGGGTTCCTCCCCATCTTCCTTGTTTCCGACAGGTTCCCTGGGCGTGGGCGTAGGCGTCGGGGTCACCGGCATGGGGGTCGGGGGCACGAATCCCCTGGAGTGGACCGGCCAGGTGACCGTCCGCAAGAAGCGCAAGCCCTACTCCAAGTTTCAGACGCTCGAGCTCGAGAAGGAGTTCCTCTTTAACGCCTACGTCTCAAAGCAAAAGCGCTGGGAGCTCGCGCGCAACCTCAACCTGACCGAGCGCCAGGTGAAGATCTGGTTCCAGAACCGGCGCATGAAGAACAAGAAGAATAGCCAGCGCCAGTCCCAGCAGCAGAACAACAACAACAACAGTCAGGCGAACAATGCGAATCACCACGGCGCGGCCACGGGTCATCACCACCCTGGCAGCGGTCATGCGAGCGTCCACCACGTGGCCGCGCAGGCGCACCACGCCAACGGCTCGACCAAACATCATCAGTGACCCGTGGTGTTCTCGGGCGTAGCGTTCGGCCACGGCCCGCACGGCGGCACCGGCTCCATCCACTCCTCGGCGGGCCACGGGCTTGTCCCGGGCGCCGGCTCTAGCCACGGCCACGGACTCCACGCGCCGCAGGCCCAGCTAGCCGCCGGGGGCTCCTCCTCCTCCTCGTCCTCATCGTCAGCGGCGGCGGCCGCGGCGGCCCTCGCCCATGCGACCGCGCCTCTCCACTCGCACGGCCACTCGACGCACCAGCTGGGCCCGGCGGGGGCCCACGTCGGGACCCATCAGCACGGTGGCCTCCTCCACCAGAACGCCCACGGGCTGGCGGCTTAGGCCGGGCCCGGCCGCGACGCCACTTCCCCCTCATCTTCGACCTGTGACTCTTCTACTTCATCGCGGTATCTTGCTTTCTTAAGGGAGTACGTGCAGTTTGAGCGACGAGCGATTATCGACCGATCGAACAGTGCCTCCAGGACGGCCGATATCTAGCTGCGACGACATTATTTATAAGCTGGACTCGCGGAGAGCAAAAAGGTAATAAATACGGAAACAAGAATTGCGACGTGTGTAAATAAATGAATGAACGATTAATGAATAATTAAATAATTAAATAATTAAATAATTAAATAATTAATTAAATAATTAATTAAATAAATAAATAAATAAACGAATTGAATATACGAATGAATAAACAATCGAGGTAAAGTAAAGTGAATAATAAAATGTTCAATGAAATCAACGAACGATGAAATGATTAAATAAAATAAATAATTAAATAAAATAAATAATTAAATAAAATAAATAATTAATTAATTAAATAAATGAATAAATAGTTGAATAAATAAATAATTAATTGATTGATTGATTGTGGATGGATGTGTAATGAGTGAGCGTGTAAGCGAACGAACGAACGAACGAACGAACGAACGAACGAACGAACGAACGATTAAATAAATAATATGAAATAAATGGGTAAATGAATGATGGAGCGAGCGAAGGAGATGGTGAACGATTAAATGGTACGGATAATAATTGTCCCAAAATGCTTAAATGATTATATGATAATTTTATAATGATTAAATGATCGGACGTTTGAGATGCGATGGGCGTTGTGTTCGCGGGAAGTTTGTTGCTGCTTGGAGAGACTCGAACAGGGACGAAGTGCAAATCGTCGTTGGCTCAGCGCGTAGGAGGCGCGTGTATGCGAGTGTCGATAATTGTAAGGGCGCTTCCAATGTATGACACATCACGTTTCACGTGCGCGTGGAAAATGATATCGGCATATTACTCGGGAGAGGTCGCACAGGTGCGCGATACGACTCTCGGCTCCGTACACATATACATATAAATAAGTAAGGGATTGCTTGTTTCTCTTTTCTTTTCTTTCTTTTTTTTCTTAATTATTTTTTTTTTAGATGTGAACTGATTCTGATGTAATTTTATCTAATCGTTGTACTTAAGCATTAAGAATGGAGAAGAGGGCGCACGATGATAGAGAGCAATTGCGCGCAACATGTGCTACACGAAGGATAATAGACGAGCTCAAGCCGAAAGTACTCCCTTAATCGTTTCCTTTTTGTCTCTCGAAGAGACGCGAGTATATAGTTTAATGCAAATAGTTGTCGAATAGTTAATGAGTAATGATGAAAATGATGAACACGAGACAAAGAGCGTGTGTGAGTTGCGAGAGTATGTGGACGGTGACACGATGTTGTACAGTGAATGTATGTTTTTTGCAGAATTATATGTATATATATATGTATATATATATATATATATATATATATATATTTATGTATACGTATATAACTATGCGCAAAGCATATGCATAAACTTATATATTTACATATACATATGCATACATATGCACACACACACGCACGCACGCACGCACGCACGCACGCACACACACATACATATATATATATTTATATATATGCGGGCGCGCACGCACGCACGCACGCACGCACATGAACACATAAAAACACGTACACGAATATATATGCCTGTGTGTATATATATATATATATATATATATATATATATGTGTGTGTGTGTGTGTGCGTGTGTGTGCGCGTGTGTGTGCGCGCGCGCGTGCGTGTGTGTGTGTACATATATACATATGTATGTATGTATATGATGAATTATGCACGAGGCGAGGATTGCGAGTGCGGAGCTCGGCCTCTTCTGTTTCGCGACGAAACCTTTTGCACCGGCCTCGCGAGCAATCTCTGTCACAATTCATTAGCTCGATAGTATTCTCTCCTGCAATTTTTAGCCTATATAAATATATACATATAAATATACGTACATGCACATGTTGGTATTTATATTTGTATTTATATACAGCCGAAGAGGGCGGACGACACGACTAAAAAACAATACAATTTTTAGCGTAATTAGTGTCGCTTACAGTTAGTGTGTTCCCAAACTTTCATCTCTCTTGCCCCCCCCCCCCCCCGTATCGTTATGTTGTCCTATCTCCGTTGTGCATGTCAGAATAGCTTCCCTTGCTCTCGATTCTTTCCTTTCTTTATGTACCCACTAGACTGGATGGATGTGCTTCTTAATTTATCAATTATCAATTGGACATCGGTCGTATTATCAAATACCAATTCGGCTACTTTGACATTCAAAAAACAAAAACAAAACAATAATAATAATAAATAAATAAATAAATATATATATTATTATTTTTTTTATTTCCTATTTACGATACGCTCAAAAACTTTTTTCTTTGTAAAAAATAATAATTATTCAAAATAATAATGTTCTTTGACAAGTTTTCTTGTAATATTCTTCAGTAACTATTCGAGTGGCGCTCGAGTAAATTTTGCAAAAATAGAAAAAAATCTCAATGTTATACTCAATTGTTACGATAAATTATATTGTAATTTAGTATGTTGTAAAACAAAAGCAAAACAAAAAAAAAGTTTATAAATTTAATATATATTTCTTTTAAGTTATATATTTTTATATGTTAAAGGATTCGAATCATTTCGTTAGTCTTCCATCCAGTTTTTCAAGTGAACTTTTTCTAAACGTAATTTGATAGTAGACAGGATGAACGAAAAAATGTAGTTTCAATCACGTAGATTAAGCGCATGAAAATGATACAAAAGGGCTAGCGTTTTCAAGAAAATGAAAATCTTCGTACTCAATGCCTACCAAGGATCGCAACTATCGTACCTATAATTCTTAATTGTACGTAAAGATTATTAAACAAAAAGAATATAATCACGCGCAAAAAATATTAATTGAATTCTGATCAACAGTTGACTAGGGAAAGGTGGAAAGCTAAAGAAGCGTGTACTACTCAATATTGATACCAGTGAAAAATTTTTTGAAAAAAATTACTCTTATTCGATGTTCTTACCTCAAACGATGAAAAACGGTGCAACATTAACGCTGAATTTTGCAGTAAATATTGCTTAGCCAGGTAAAGAAAAGAGAAAAAAAAGTATTAAGCTCTGTAAAGTATTTCGAACTAAATAAGAGATTCTCCTCAATTTTACGTTGCGTCTTCGATTTTGTAAACGTAAATTAAAAAATAAATCTTAAGCTCGGTAACGTGACGAGCGTACAACCCAGAGCCCCTTGCGAAAAAAAAATCGACGGGGTGCGGGTGTATAGGTAATAACCGAAGGTTCGTGGCAAGATATCCCAGTAGTTCTCTACTATCTTAGTTATAAATTTTGCAATGTCGCGCATGTCTGTGTTCGAATGAAAATCACGAGGCAGGAGAATGAAAAAAAAAAAAAAAAAAAGAGAAAAAAAAGAACTCCTAGCAATCTCGAATGCAGTGGAAGCACATCGAGGAGAACTTGGACGGGTTTCGTAATCCAAACTTATAGGACTAGAGAAATAAGATCGTGCAAAAATAAGATTTTGAAAAAATTTTACATTTTCACGTGGTAAAGATTTTTCATGTACTTTTTAAATAATAACTTTTCAGAATGAATTTAACAATTAATGAAAGAGAGATAGATAGATAGATAGATAGATAGACAGATAGATAGATAG